TGTTTTGCTTTTTCATTGTAAATGATTTTTTCTCTCTTTTATGTAGCACGCTGGCCATTTATTAAGAGATAAGATGTGTTGCTTTGAATATTTTTGCCGTTAATTTTTTTAATAAAAAATTAATATTAAATAAAACCAAAATTTAGCTGAGCCAACGCGTAACGGAAAGTCAAGTACTGTGACGAGAATCACGGAGGTAGAATGTTGGTGTCTTCAACTAATTCTGCAACCACTGGAAAATTGGTTGAAGCCCAACAGTTGGTCTCAGAGACCAGACACTCACGTGGCGGTTGCCTGGTTGGGACCAATACAAAGCAGCATTTCATTCATGTCGTTAATGAATTGCTCTTTGATGTTGAACTAATACGTGCCATGTTCAAAGCTACAGTCACAATCATGTCCAGTTCAGCAAATCACTTCCGTTTCCTGTTTGTTTTAGCCATTCTCGGTGCCCTTGCAAACTCCCAAAGTGATAAACCCAATCACAGGGTGCAGTCCAACAAAGAGATTGCTATGTTTGTGTTTGGAGATTCTCTTTGTGATCCTGGGAATAACGACTATGTCCCTTCCTCTCAGGCCAGGGTGAATTTTCCATCATATGGGGAGACATTTTTCCATTATCCAACTGGAAGAGATTGTGATTCTTCCTGATTTTGTTGGTAAACTTGCCAACTATATCTGCATTTCCTTTAATTTGCAATTAAGTTGGTAATTGCTCTGTTTCTTTTGCAGCCGTTTATGCAGGTTTACCATATTGGAGAGCTTGCTTAGACCCTGATAATCACAATTTTACTGGTGGAGCAAACTTCGCTAGTGCTGGAGCCTGCGCTCTAATTGAAACCAACGATAATTCGTTAATTTTTGTTTCTTTATCCAAACTTAGCCGCCTAGTCTTCTTCTTTCTTCCCTGGGATTTGTGATTAGGACGGTGTTAAGTAAAATTTAGGTTAAAATCTCAATTTGTTCTCTTAACTTTGGTAAAAAGTTCTTTTTAGTCTCTTATTTAAAAGAATTCATTTTTTACCATTAAAGTTTGAAATCTAACTTCTTTTTGGTCCCTTTATTAAGTTTTGAGGTTAGATGATGAAAATTTAAGAGGAGATTGAAGAGGTATCAAAGGGGCCTTTTTTCAAAGTAGAGGGACCGAATTGGGGTTATTTTTAACCTCCTTTAAGTCCTTTTTGACCCTTTTACTTTAAAATTTTTATCGTGTTACTTATGCAAAACTTAACATAGAATTAAAAATGAATCTTATTTTGAACTTTAGGGTCCAAAAAAGAGCTTTTTAAATAAAAGGATTAAAAAGGAGTTTTTTTGTTAAAATAAAAGGACCAAAATAGGGATTTAATCTAAAATTTATAAAACATTTTATTAAAAAATTACTATTTATCCCTTATAAAGTTATAATTTTGTTAGAGAAAAATAATAAAATTAATTTTTTAAATAAGTTTTAAAAAAATTAAAATTTTTTTAAAAAAGCTAATATTAAATAAAAAACAAAATTTAATTAAGAGAAGAAAGTCAACAGTATCTCTCGATACTATATTATTAATATTTCAAGCCATTTAAAAAACAACGTATCAATTTCTTTTTCTTTTTTTTTTGTTGTCCTTTTCATCAGGTGATTGATGCGGTGTAAAAAAAAAACCTAATGTAGTATTTTTTGATTGGCTTGAGATACGAGATATTGCTGACATGGTATCTCATGGATACTGCTCACGTGGTATCTCAGAGATACAACAAACTTTCTCCTACCGAAGAGTCAAGTGTACCGTATCAAGAATCACCGAGGTAGCATGTTGGAGTCTTCAACTAATTCTGTGAAAATTGGTAGAAGCCCAGCAGTTGGTCTAACAGACCAGAAAATCAAGTGATGGTTGGACCAATATAAAGCAGCAAACCATATCATTGATATCACTGAATTGCTTTACCATGTTCAAACGCCCGGTCTCAATCATGTCAAGTTCAGCAATTCACTTTCGTTTCCTGTTTGTTTTAGCCATTCTCGTTGCCCTTGCAAACTCCCAAACTGATAAACCCAATCGCAGGGTGCAGTCCAACAAAAACGTTGCCATGTTCGTGTTTGGAGATTCACTTTTTGATCCTGGGAATAACAACTACGTCCCTTCCACTAATGCCAGGTCGAATTTCCCACCATATGGGGAGACATTTTTCCGTTATCCAACTGGAAGAGATTGCGATGGTCGCATTCTTCCTGATTTTGCAGGTAAACTAGCCAACTATATATGCATTTTCTTTAATTTTGCAATTAAATTAGTAATTGCTCTGTTTTCTTTTTGCAGCCGCGTATGCAGGTTTACCATATTGGAGAGCTTACTTAGACCCCGATGATGACAATTTTACGGTTGGAGCAAACTTTGCCAGTGCTGGAGCAGGTGCTCTAATTGAGACAGATCCCAATGCGGTATTTTATTTTTCTTAATCTCAACTCAGGAACTTAGAAAAGCAAGAATTTCACATTAATAGGTTTTGCTAGGTGGTGGACCCTGTTGAATAGAGTATTTAGTACTCTATATGAAAATTGAGCATAAGGTTTTCAATGTAAGGATAACATTTAATATAAAATTAATTGATAATTTGTGAAATATATGTTTTCTTATTATATTTTTTATTTAAGATTTTTGAAAAAGTGGGAGGAGGGGCAAGGGCCAATCACCCCATTAACTTTTGAAAATTTATAAATTGAGTACATATATTATTTTTTTACCTCTTAAAATTTTTTAACATTATATTTGTCATGTAAAACTTTAAATTATTTTCATTTAAATGTTTATAATTTTTGTAATTGTAAGACAAATACAATTTATAATACTTTTATTATAAACAGTATTTCAAACATAGAGAGAAGATCAGAATTTAATTAAAGATGAAAATATTATAATCTAAATAAATGAATTTCCTGTATAAGGAGTAAATTAAGAATTGAAACTCTTAATTAAATCCAAGCTCAAAGATCTTTTATCTTTTAAGTTTTCGAATTGTTTTAGAATGTTATTTTTTAATTTTGGTAACTTATTTTAGAAAATAATTCGATTAATGAAAACTTTTGTTGATAAAAAGATTTAAGCTTTTATTTAATTAATAATTTCAGTTTTCTAAATATTAAATTACATGTTTCATCTTTTATATTGTTTAGTTTTTGGGATGGAAAAAAGATAATTTTAACGAGAGAAATCAGGAAAAAAAAAATAGACATTTTGAGACGAAAGGGGTAGGATTTTGAAATTACTTGAATTAGTTGATCTATCATTTAAATATTATCATAGTGAAGCATTGTTCCTTATTTTCATAATTTGTTAAGATTCTTAAGAAAATATCAATAAAGACAATTAGAATTAAAATTTTCTTAAAGAAAATTAACTAGTGTTAATATAAAAAATATTCAAGATGCAAGCCGAGGTTAAATGCTTTATTGTTAACTTTATTGTTATTAAGCAAATTCATTAATTTGTAGCTTAACTAGCTTTATAAATGCTTGAAATTGCTTTTCAGATTCCCCTTGAAGTACAAGTAGACTACTTCAAAGAAGTCGCAAATTTGTTGAAGGATCAGCTAGGTGAAGCAGATGCGAAAGAGTTGTTGCAAGGAGCCATCTATTACTCTAGCATTGGAGGAGTAGATTATGCTTCCTTTATTTTTACTGCCACTAATGTTACTGAATCATTGGTTGAAGATTATGTAAATATTGTGATCGGCAATATAACAAATCAAGTAAAGGTATGCACAAGAAAACAATTATCTCTTTTCTTTTTCTTTTTTTTCTTGTTCCTTTGTCATTTCTCATCTATTCCCCCCCCCCCCCCCCCCCCCCCGCCCCCCCTCCTTTTTTCTGCAAGCAGGAACTATATAAAGCAGGTGGAAGGAAATTCGCATTTCAAAATGTTTCACCCCTCGGATGTTCACCAGAATCGAAGGAGACGTTCAACGCTACGGGCTGTGTGAAATCACTACAAAAGATAGTAACCATGCATAATAATGCACTAAACATTGTTGCCGAGGAGTTAGCAAGCGAGTTGCCTGGATTCAAATATTTAATATTTGATTATTTCAACGCATTAATGGATAGAATCGAAAACCCAACAAAATATGGTATATAACTAATAAATATTGTATATAATCAGTTTTGAAAAACTAATTTAAAAGTTAATTTTTAAATTTTCTTTTAATAAAATTTTAATTTGTGTGAAAAGAATTTATTTTATAAATAAGTGCCTTTTAAGTACTTTTTATATGTCATAAATGCAACACTTAAAACTTTAACTATATAATATCGTTCATAGTTTAACTAATATTATGAGTAGATCTATAAATAAAAATAATTAATTATATATGTTATCTCATGTCACATTAAATTGTAAATAAAATTGTATGATTAGAATTTTGTGTATAGTTTTCTTTATATATATTTGATAATGTATTTATTTTCCACATATTTATATATATTGGTATACTCATATATATATATATATTAGTAACAACTTTTGTAACGATATTTTGAAGGTTTCAAGGTAGGGGATGTAGCATGTTGCGGCAGTGGCTTATACCGAGGAATCACTACTTGTGGCAGTTTAACGTCAACATATGAACTTTGTAGTGATCCCAGTGAATATGTGTTTTTTGATGCAGGCCACCCTACCGAAGCCTGCAACATTCAGTTAATTGAGTTACTGTGGAACGGATCGACACATGTTGTTTGGCCTGTTAACTTGAAAGAACTACTAGAACTTGAGATCGAGACTGAGAGTTTTTTTGGAAATAATGTTGATCTTTTGAGTCAGCTAAGCTAATTAAATTGATGCGTTTCTTATGCAATATATCTGGCGGTTGAGTTTGGCTGCCTTTAATTGTAACGGTTTGCAATACCTATTTTATGAAGGTTTGGTTTGGGAATACTATACGGTGTTGTTGTTGTTGTAAGATTTTTTATTTAAAAATATAAAATTGTTAATTTTTTTGTAAAAATGATTCAAAAAATGATTTTTAAAGAAAATTGGTATCAATCAATTAAAATACTTAATTTAGACACAATTGAAAATTCACATTGCAGTTGCAGGGACTCAACTGCAAGGAAAAAAATTGAGAGGCTAAATTATAGTACAAAAAAAGAATGGGAGGACTATGTATCGAATTTAATGAAATAAAAAGGGGCAAACGACGCCGTTTTCTCAAACTTACTGAAGATTCAAGCTATAGTCTTCTTCTTCTTCTTCCTTCCTAATTTCGCGAAAACGCGGCGGGAAAAGGGATTTGTTATCTGATCTGTGATTAGAGGTAGGAGATATTAGGGAATTCTATAAGATGATAGATAGATATGTTGGCACCAAGGGATTCGATAAAGCTGCGTAGTTGCTAGGTCATTGCAACCGATTCAAAGGGCGGTGAGCTCATGCAATTGCAGAGGAAGAGAAACTGCTGTAACTGAGGGAATGGATGTAGCAAGCGGTGAAAAAGCTCGTATAATTTTTAGGAAATCAATCAAAAACCCAAGGTTCTTCTTAATTTCAGGTAATGAATTTGGATTTTCAGTATAGAAATTGGGTGGAAATTGAGTTTGAGGGGTTGATCCAGCATACGGTTCCCTTAAATTCAATTGAACACCATTTCTATAATATTAGATTTTCTCAGACATTGCTGTATTTGGATTTTGGGTCGCTGATGCCGAGTTTCTGTTCAATGTTATGTTAAAAGTTTGATTTAGTTTGTTTGTTTTTCGTTTTCGTTTTCTTTTTTTCTTTTTTCTTTTTTTTTTTTATTGGATAATGGGCTTAATCTCTCCTTGTCCATTGCAAGTTCAAACTCGAGACTTCTAGGATGAGACACCTTATCGAATTTTAGCGTTTGTTTGAATTGGAAGAGTTGGAGAGTAAGCAAAGGAGAGTGACGGGCAGATATCACTTTTTTTCTTATTTGGATTATGTATTTAAAAACAGGTAGATAAGATGGGGAAAGATGCAGATGGAGGTGGAGCCCCCCTACTCCATCGTTTTCAGAGGGATTGCGATATAATTTTATGTACATTTACTTTTTAAAATTTTTTAAAAAATAAATATATATATCTTTATTTAAATTATTTATTTAATTAGTAAAATTAAATATTATATTATATTATTTTATTTTTAAATTATTTAATAA